GGGACTTCCCTCCCCTTTCCTCTCTCCCTGTGACAGCCCCCTTGGGGCTGTCTGTTTATTTTTTTCCACCGGGCATGTGTCCTGCTGGTTTGGGATCCGCCCCCACCCCCCACCCCACCCCGCGTGCACTCACGCGGCGTGTCCCGCAGCTGTGGACCTGGCTGGAGGAGCTGCAGAAGGAGCTGCTGGACGACGTGTACGCCGAGTCCGTGGAGGCCGTGCAGGACCTCATCAAGCGCTTCGGCCAGCAGCAGCAGACAACCTTGCAAGTGACCGTCAACGTCATCAAGGAGGGCGAGGACCTCATCCAGCAGCTGAGGTAGGCGCTTAGCCTGCTGGGACTTCATGGCCAGTGCCCAGAGCTCCGTCAGCCCCGGGGTCAGCTCTCTTTCCCTCCTCCGCCCTCCCTCCACACTCTCCCTCATCAGCTGACCAGGAAGACCCCAAATCCATGGCAGGCAAATGGATTCTGACTCACGGGGGCCCTAGAGGACAGCAGACCACCCTGCCGGTGCCCCAGGCTGTCTGCCGGTGCCCTCTGCCCTCGTCTAGCTATGGAGTTAGTTCTAACCTCGGACCTTTCCAGGAGCACTTAACCCAGAACTCAGCTTCTGTGGGTGGGGTTTGCTCCTCTTCTCTAACTCTTCCTGGGCACCACGGACCTGTCTGAGTCAGAGACGGGAGGACGCCTGCACGTACCTCGCCATCCCGGCTCCGGGTGTGGGGAGTTGGGGTCTGGATGGGGGTGGGTCTGGGAGTCAGAAAGGCCAGAGGTTGAGCCTGCTTTCCCAGGTGGCCTCTTGCTGCAGTTTCCTCTTACTGGGTCAGTGGGACACTTAGATGTAAACTGCCCCACGCTGTCCCTCCTCAGAGGGACAGGTCACTGACGGGTCACCGGTAGCTGCGCAGGATGCCCACCCAGCTAGCCGAGGGCCAGACACCAACTACCGAGTCAAGGCTTAAATGAACTGCATTCCCGTTTAACCTTCAGAGCCCATGTGACGCCAGCGTTTCAGTCAACCAGGTACCGGTCATCCGGGTAGCTAAAAATAAGACCCCACCCAGTAGCTTCATTTTCCTATTAGAATTGCTTGTTGGTGTCTGGCACTAAAGGAAATGCCCGGGGCCCCTTCGGCAGCGCCCACCTCGTCAGCCCGGCTGGAGGCAGCGCTCGGAGGAAGGAGCTGAATATTGTTTTCTGGAGTGCAGCTTCTTCCCCTTTCTGAGGCCGGCAGTACTTCCTGCCGCCGCTCTTCCCCCGAAGCCCCGGCGCTGCCGGATGGATCTGGCCGCGGGCACCAAACAATGCGAGGCTCTCCCTGGATTCCTCTTTGTCTGGCCTCCAACCCCGTCTGTCCGCCCTCCTCCATGTGCGCCCCGCAGGGACTCGGCCATCTCCAGCAACAAGACCCCCCACAACAGCTCCATCAGCCACATCGAGACGGTGCTGCAGCAGCTGGACGAGGCCCAGTCGCAGATGGAAGAGCTCTTCCAGGAGCGCAAGATCAAGCTGGAGCTCTTCCTGCAGCTGCGCATCTTCGAGAGGGACGCCATCGACGTGAGTCCCTATGGGTGCCCCTCCACCCGGCCCGTCTGCCGCGCCCTGCAGCCGCAGCAGCCCTCAGCTTGGCGGAGGCTGGGAGGAAGCCTGGGGTGGAGGCTTGCAGTTCTCCCCTCCCGGGACTCTGGGCTCCGGACTCTGCGGTCCAGTCTGGAGGGAGAAGGGAGGCTGGCTGGGATGGCAGGTGAGCGGGGCAGCGCAGGGCAGGCAGCAAAGCCTCGGGGGTTCTGTAGGAGCGGTCCATGGTGCTGTCCTGGTGTTTGTCAACCTTGACCGGTGTGCTGCCCGGCTCTCCCTCTCCCCGTTCTCACACCCACCCTGCCCTGTCCTGTCCCTCTTCCTCTCTCTCCTGCCTTCCCACCCCTGCCCCCGGCCCCTCTCTTGACCAGAGTGAGCATTATCATGGCCCTTGTGATGGTGGTAGAGGGAGCCCTGGTAGTGCTGTGGGTTCAGCAGTGATTGATGGGGATGGTAATGACAAGGTCAGTGGTTCAAACCCACCAGCCACCCCATGGGACAAAAAGAAGGCTGTGTCTGCAGAGTGAGAGCCAGCCCAGCAAGGGCTTGGTCTGCATTGCTTTGCCCCCTGGGAAAATGCCAGGCTCCCATGCTCTGCAGGGGGCAGGCGGCCATGTGCAGGCTCACCTGCCACTGGGTCAGGTGTTTACGCCCTCACCAGCCCTCGTACTTCTGCTGGTGTTGCGTTCTTGTGACTCCACAGTCAAGTGTTCCTGTAACCAAGTCAAGCTGATGACCATGAGCTTGATTCTGTCTCATAGCAACCCCCGTAGGCGAGAGTAGCACTGCTCCGTGGGGTCTCTGAGACGGGGATCTTAATAGAAGCTAACTGCTTGCCATGCCTTTCTCCTGAGGAGCCACTGGTGGGCTCGAACCACCCACCTCAAGGTTAGCAGTCCTTCCCTTCCTCCACTGTGTCCCCATGGCTCCTGTGAGCCTTGTCTAGCCCGCCCCTGAAAAAGAATCACAGACTCACTGCCACTGTGGCCTTTTGAGAAACAGTGCCCATGCTACCCTGGGCGACTTCCTCCCTGGGAACAGTGGTGCTGCCACAGTGCTGTGGGCAGGAGGCCTCTCTGAGCATCTCCAGGGTGGCTTTATGCCCTGGGAGGGGCTCTGGCTGGTGTGGGTTTCTGATCCACTGCCTGGATGTCGTCTGAGCCCAGTGGTCTCCGTGAGAGGTTGCTACCCAGCCCACAGGTCTGCACCACCCTGGACTCTCTATCTTGGTCCCCAGACAATCAAATCAGCACCAAGAAAGATGAGCCCCTTAGAATAGAGGGCCAGGTTAAAGGGAGAGTGATTTTTTTAACACCCACCCCCGACTGGCTTTTTGGTTCATACCTGATATTGGTGACTAATGTAACTGTGCTATCCGTCAATGTAACAAGTAAACATACTGGAGCCCTGATGGTAAGGGGATACGGTGGGAAGATGGGGGCCCCGGCTGGGAGCAGCCTGAAGGCTTTCCATCAGTTCTCGTCTCCTGGCTGCGACACTTTATGATTGATTCTGTCACGTCTCCACCCTCACCTTGCCGGGCCCAAGTGGAGGAAGTCCATGAGCATCCTTGGGAAGTGCTATCCCATAGTTCACAGAACCACATTTCTCTCGCGCGTTTTCCCTCCTTCCTGAGTGTGTGGTTTTTTTAGCCTTCAGTTTTAAAAATTGTGTGTTTTCACCCCTATGGTCAAGCGGATGAAATGAACAACCAGGCAGAGTCTCCGTATACCTGTCCCCTAAATTCTGGGTTTTGCTGCACTTGCTTCCAATATCCAACCCCCCCCCCTTTTTTTAACTTAATATATTGATAAAGTATTGTAAAGGTAATCCTTGCTGACTTGGGATATTGTCCCCCAAAGACTTCCTAAGTGTCTCTGAATTAAAAGCCTTTGTCCTGCATAACCACTGTCCACCTATGGGAGGCCTCACCAAGTTCCCTGCTTCCCTTCACATTCTTCCGCACCCCTGCCCGTGGTCACTCCTCCACTGGCCTGCGGGGGCCAGCCTCCGTGTGATGGTTTGTCTTTCCATCTGGAATCCCTCTCCGTCTGCCCTCATCTCTACTTTCCTACCCTGGGCTTGAAGAAACCCGTCAGTTCACGAAACAAAGGCTCGCATACCCACCTGCCTTTGTGGGATCCCTCCCGTTTTGCTTGGCTCGGGTTCTGAGCCCACCCAGGGCTGCCCGTGGGCTCAGAAGCAGCTGCGGAGGCCCGAGTGGATTCAGGTTCAGGCTTTTACCAGCTGGAGCACACCTTCGGCATGCCACCTGCCTTGCTCCCTCGAGGCTTGTCATGTGATGGTGCTACTGGGGTCATGTCATGCCTGCTGGTCCCACCTCGGTGGGGGTGGCAAGGTCGGCTTCGTGGTTAGGCGGGGCAGCCTGGTCCTTCACCATTGCACTTTCAGTCAAGCCTCGGTCCCGATGATTTGCTGCAGGACAGCTGCCGGAAACCACTGCTCTTATTAGAAATTGCCGGGGAGCAGGAGGGAAGGGGGGATCAGCTTAGAATTTTAGGACTCTCTACAGGTGATAGCTGCGCTCATCAATAGAGATGGCATTTATTCCCTTCATCATTAAATGCCACACGGAGTCCTGGTCTGCCTTAAGGGCCAGTTTTCAGTATAGAGGTTGGTTTCCTGGCTCGCTCTCATTGGGAAAAATGAGGTCTTCCATTGGTTTAGTTTCCTCGCTTCTTTTAAGACAGAAAGTTAGAATTGAGAGCTTTTGCGTATTCCCAGTGCCGCAATCAACTTCAGGCATTTCTTTTGGGGTGATTGTGACTTGTCCTTCAGCCGGTCCCCATCAACAGGCTTCTGTGTTCTGACATGCATCCGGCCCCCCCCCCCCCACTTCCCGAGTCTCTTCCTCAGACCCTGCGCCTCAGGACCCCAGCACCTGCTGTTCAAGTCTCGCCCTTCATCCGACCCTCTCTCCCCCTAGATCATCTCCGACCTCGAGTCCTGGAACGACGAGCTTTCTCAGCAGATGAACGGCTTCGACACCGAGGACCTCACCATCGCCGAGCAGCGGCTCCAGCACCACGCAGACAAGGCCCTGACCATGAACAACCTGACCTTCGACGTCATCCACCAAGGGCAGGACCTCCTGCAGTACGTCAACGAAGTGCAGGCCTCGGGTAAGAGCTGCCTGCCGCCCCCAGGGCCTCACAGGCCTTTGCCCTCTGGACCCCGGTGTGGTGTCCACCAAGTCCCCCGTCCTGGAGGGCCTGGTTCTCCGAGGGAACACGTCACATGTTTTTTTCAGCAGAATCGAGCCCATGTTAACATAACGCATTTACCTTTACTGTTCTTTACTATTGTTTCAAGTAGCGGTCACTTTAATCTGACAGACTGTTTTACAAGGAGCCCTGTGGCGTGGGCTACATGTTGGCTGCCTGTCACAAGGTCGGCAGTTTGAGCCCACCAGCCACTCTGAGGGAGAAATACGGGCTGCCTGCTCCCGTCAGGGTTGACAGTGTCAGAAAGACAAACAGGTAGCTCTACTCTCCGATGGATGTTTGTTTAATGCTGTTGTACTCACTTCTGCAAATGAAATGGAAACTGTAAGGAGACGTTTTTGCATTCTTGCTTTGTCTTTGCCTCTGTGTTAGCAGCAGCTGGCACTGCGGGCTCCACAGGTAGGTTTAGCTCGGAAGCATTAGCACGTGGTTAGCAGAGCCCGCGTACACCTTCCTCGTCTTACTGAAATCAAATCACAGACTTCACACTGCACCTGCACAGGGACAGAGGCAGACCAAGTTCACCCCCTCTGTGGGCTGGGGGGGGGATATTTTCAGTAGTTACTATAGTTATCAATATCTTAGATAGTTTTTAAGAGAAGGTAAAAGAAGGTGACTTAAATGTTTTATATTATGTTTGCACATAATAACTGGGTTGTCTCTGGAGAAAATTTTCATCATCACTGAATGCATTAAATAAGTGGCTGTTCTCCCTGAATTGCCAGTTTTCATAATAAAGCCTGGTTATCTCTAATAGAGACACGGTTATCTGGTTATCTCTAATGGAGACCAATGGATTTTCAAAAGTTCTGGCTTCTTCACTCATCTTTGTTTAAGAAAAAGAAATATTAGTGGGTTTTTATATATTTGGTGGATTTTCACAAGCAGGGAACTGTTTGTGCATTTATACACAACTAGGACCAGGAGTCCTGATAGCGCAGCAGCTTAGGCATTGGGTTAATAACAGAAAGGTCAGTTAACACAAAGCCTCTTAAATGAGAAAGCTGAGGCAGACTGCTTCCCTAAAGATGACAGTTTGAGAGACCCTCTCTTGGGGGTCAGTTTGCTCTGCCCTTGTGGGGTCACCATGACTTGGCATTGACCCGGCGTGGTGGGATACAGTAAGAATCTCAGCATTTGGTTGGCTATCATCTCAGCTGTTGATTCACTTATACCTTTTGTTTGACGTTTGAAGTCAGTCCATCCCCTCAGACACACCCACTTGCTGGGAGGCAGGTGTGAGCTCACGCTTCTCTCTGCTGGCCTGGGCCCTCCTTGAACTTGACCTTCAAAGTACTGCCATGGCCCCCGAAGAGCCGGCCATTCAATGGAAGCAGGGGCCATGTCACCCAACGCGTGCTTGCTGTACTCCGGTCTTTGCCACGTCTGCAGGTGTGGAGCTGCTCTGTGACAGAGACGTGGACATGGCCACCCGGGTCCAGGACCTGCTGGAGTTTCTTCACGAAAAGCAGCAGGAACTGGACTTGGCTGCGGAACAGCACCGGAAGCACCTGGAGCAGTGTGTCCAGCTCCGCCACCTGCAGGCCGAGGTGAAGCAGGTAAAGGAATTGCTGGCCGGCGCGCATCCCACCTACAGACACCTGGCATGGGATCCCTGGGCAGCTCAGGCATGTAAGCCTTATATAGGTACAGTGAACCCTTGTTTATCGCGGTTAATCGGTTCTAGACCCTACCGTGATAAATGAAATTC